ATATATATATATCATCTTTAAATTTTCCTCCTGCCACCTAACCCATCCTCCAGCCTGTTGTCAACCAACCACTGATGAGTAGTATAAACATCAGAGCTTACTGGAAACTTTATTAATTATTGGTGTTAATGTTATCAGTTTTTACTGTGTATATTAAATATAAAACAAAGGTCAGAAACCTCATACTCCAAATTTTGCATTCCATGTTTACTGATTTGATTACTCAAAATTTTTGACGTAAAACGATATAAATGAATATATATGGGTCAGCACAGTGGTCAAAGTTGCTGGTGCTTGCGCCATTGTGAACTGAGGATAGATCTTTAGTGGTGGCACCTTCAAATAATAGGTATCAGTTAGTCTAGGAAATAATAGCGGCCAATACGTAACGCTGACCACATTCCTATAATGACACTTGCTGTTGGTTAAAAATTCAGGAACCTTAACCTCCATTATTTTTCAAGATCAATGCAGGCTGTTGAGGGAATGCTAAGAAAAATATTTTGATACATTTAATATCTATTTTGATCAGTCTTTCATTCTAAAATATAAGAGAAATCTGATATATATTATTAAATGAAAATTAATCTGAATCAACTTTTGGTTTACCTTTAGAAGCTAATTTTTTGCAGTCTCCTTTTACGAATCCAAGAATGCTCCTTGCGATACAACATTGGTCAGCTTCACAGTCATCTGGTCCAGAGCAGCGCTTGCCTTCGACTGCCTGTAAATTGTCATCATAAGAGTAAGAACATGCATAAAAATTAATAAAAATGGAAATTAGAAGCAACTACAATTGAAGTTATTGCCTTCAGTATTCAAAATCATTAAATACTTCTTCATGAAAATTATGCACTGCTTTTCTCTTTTTCTTAAACTTTAATTTTTAAATCATCCATTTTTTTTGTATTTGTATTTTTAATGTGTTTTAAAATCTTATAAAAAGAACTTCTCAAAATAGAACATTTAAATAGGATCTATCCATCAAAAAGTGTTTAGTTTTCCAACATGTAAAACTGGTAGATTTTTCTTGAAAAGAATACGATGTATCCAATCAAAACATACCCTGTTTCAAAATTTATTTATTCTGAAATAATGAAAAACAAAAGAATGAAATAAACGGTATATTGATATGTAAAAAAATCATAATTTTTTAAACTAGTAATAAAAAATACTAACAGATGGCTCTGTAGACTGCACAGGGCTGTAAACATGAACAAAGGAGGGCTAATAATTTTTGTTTATTTCCAGTGAACCAACGTCATCAGTTAGGAACTTTTGTTTATAATACAACCTTGTATTGCTTACAGCGGGCTTTTTTTTTTTTTTTTGACTAATAGCGAAAATTATGTATAAAAATCTTTGAATTATACCATTTATTGAGTTTTTTTTATAGTTTATTGTTTGAGGATTAATTAATTTTTTATTTGTGTACTCTTTGTCCTGTTCTATTTTTCTCACTTTACTAAATACAACTAACTTTAAGAAATAGGAGAGATTTAAAAGTTTTGAGTCATGAAAATCGATTTTATTACCTGAAAATATACTTCTAATGCTGTATCATAAAATTTATGTATGATATTGGCTGCGTCGAAGAAACTACGAAACAAGTGTCAAATAAGGATCAACATCATAGTTTAGTCAGGATCAATTACATAATGTTCCTACCACGGAATTTAAAGATGAAACATGAGTGCAGTGTTATAAAAATATTGTGTCTAGGTCAGATGGTGATATAAGATAATGAAAAAATGCAACTTTTAGTATTTGTTAATTCCCTTGTCCCTATAACATATTTTTTTATAATTCGTTTAAATAGTTTCTCTTAATATTGTTATTGTTATTATGCATATGTTAAATTATGCATAGGCTGTGTATTATTACATATTGTTATATAAATAGTTAAAAAATTTTATTTAATTTAATTAAGAGTTCATAATTATTATTCATGAGTTTAAGAAAAGAAAACGACCGGAATTCATTCAATGAAACAAAATCACATTTTTAAACATTTTAGAAATCAGCTAAGATTAAAAAAGAAGCACAAATGAAATAGTTAAGGAGATGTAGAACAATTTTTGTACTAACTATAACAAGTACAGACTTTCAACTTTCGAAATTCATTTTGTTGGTACAGGCGCAAAAAAGAAAAAAAGGAAAAAGAAAACATTTGCCTTTTGGGTTCTTGTAAAAATTCAATTTGTGAAAGGAATAGTTTAAAAATAGTATATAACATTAAAATTGAAAAGAATTGCCACAATAACTAAAAAAATATGTAAAATAAAAGTTCCTTCGTGTTCTTACTTATAGTACATAAACACAGAAATTTTTCGCTTCATTCATTTGACTATCGCCAAATACAGAGGGAAAATCTGGTGACGTAATTTATATGGTAATAACATTTCTGTTAAAAAAAATACTTATGATTATAAAATTTAAATATAGAGTATTGAAACCTTTCATTTATGATTTGACTTTCGTATGGTAATGATTTACCAGAAATTCTGGTTTTCAAAATTATATTTCTTATTACCAAGTACAAAATTGAAAGTTAATTTAACCGAATAAATGGTTTTTATGTCATGTTTGTTAAAATTATCTTTTGATAACAATGTCTTTACCAAATAGAATATTAATTAATAGACTGTTTGCATTTACATTGTTTACTCAAAATGGCTATTTATGTGCGTAATAAATACTATATTTAGATAAATCAAGTTTGGTGTCTGTTGTATGTCTCTTTTATAGGGTTAGTGGAATTTATTTAATTACTCATTTACATGAATGGATTTGTTTGTAAATACAAAGAACATCTTTAAAACTTCTTTCAATTTGAAAATAAAGTAATATTTTCATGCAGTTCGTGCTCAGAAAACATTTAAAAAGAAATAATTTTTTTTTTTTGATAACTATAATTCGTATTTGATAACTTATGAAAACAGTCAAATTTGAATATCTTGAAAATTTAAAAAGTTTCTAGAACATTTTTAAGTAGTTTTTGTTAACTTGGAAAGAAAGCTTTGAGCAGTAAGGGGTTTACCACAAATTTAATTTTGTACTATGAAAGAAGATTTATTAAAAATGACATAGGCATTACATAGGATCTCACCCTTATAAATCATGTTTTATTTCCTATTACCGTGACTAGTTGTTATCTGGACAATCATTTTAGGGTTTTATCGTTTGTTATGAAATTGTGTTTTATGATAATAAAATGAAATTTGTGGAATTCAATGTAATTTGTGGACAACCCTTATTCAGAGCTTTCGATAAAAACGTTCAAAAGCTACTTAGAAATTTGTTAGAAATTGCTTACTTTTTCAAGATATTAAAATCGATGTTATTTCATAAGTTACAAAATACAATTCTAAACGAAATTATGAAAGAAGAAGAAATTTATGTCATCCGCGCATGCGCAGTATGAAAGGATTATTTTAAATACTCACATCCTAAGCAAATTCTTAACGAATTTCTTTCAAATTTCAAAATGATATTTTTATTATTAATTAAATATTACTCAGAAACTTTTGTTCAATTTGTTTGAATTTTTGAACGATAATAAGAAAACGTAAGTCAAAAAAATTAGTATTTTATAAAAAATATCCATATCTCAATGAATATTTAAGTTTGGTTTACGAACTTTTGTGCAATTATTTCATATGACAATCAACCTAATTGGCATGAGTTATAAGTTTGTTGCTGTATTTTTTGGCACAGGGTGTTCAAAAACACTTTTTTCAGTTCGTAATTTATTATTGGTCCCTCAAATCTCTAAATACTTTTAACTTTATTGACATGCATGAGAAATCTCATGACACTTCTAATGTTTCACAATAATTCTCTTTAAATATTTCATGAGCAATATGAAAAAATGAGTTAGTATAGCAGTGTTTCCATTATTTTGTCCAACCCCTGTCAATGCTTCATTCCCCATATTTCTATATTTTAAATTTTTCTCTTCGGAATATTGTCACAAACGCCCAAAAAAATTACAGTTGTCCTAGAAAGATCCTTATGATTAACGGCAGTAATTTAATTTAAAAGCCACGCCATCTTGGATTTTAAGTTAAGCTTTTGTTTGTGTTTTCTTGATTTTCTGTTAAATTTAACAAACGTTTGATGACAGAGCATACCTTTTAGAAAATATTAAAAAATAAAGTCATCGATTTATTAAATTAGAAAAAAATAGTGATTGATAATATTTAGAGCTTCGATTGATATTTTTTCAAAAATATCAAGCAAAAAAGCTACGTGATTTATGGTTTTGAGTAAGTAATTTAAAATTATACATTTGTCTGGTTTTAGATTTTTTTAAAGTTGGATTTTGTTTGAGTTAAATTAATGAAAAAACCCATTTGTACAGCGCTATTTTAATATTAATTACGCATATATATCATAAATCTAAAAAAAAGACAAATGTATAATGCTAAAATGATGATTTCAGAATTCTATAGATATTATTTTATCAGAAAAAAATTTATCAAGTATTTAAAATAGCATACATATATCTCAAATTGGGATTGGAAGATGGTCGTGTATTTTTCATGTTTCAAAAAATATTGCCAAATAGAATAAATATTCACTATCAATTTTATTTTTGAACTTTTTGTCCAAAGGATTAAAAGCATGCTTAGAATTCTACCTCCCCGCCTCCACCCCTTCGACAATTGAGTTTGGCCGAAAGGGAAAATTTTACAAAATTTAGAATGGAGGATAGATTTTCCAGGAAAATTCTCCAGGAACTAAAAATTACGAACATTGTTCTTTTTCCAAAACTGAAGGAAAAAACGTATTCCATTCTGAGTTAAAAATTGCGGACAAAACTTTTAATAGTCATTCTGATTTATTGAAAAAATTCAGATTTGAGCCAAGTAGAAATTTTGCATTGAAGCTGTAGAATATTTATTTCAACTTATAAAATTTGTTTAGTTACTAACAGCAAATACTCAAATTACTAATAATAATGACATAAATAATTAATATCTGAAATTATGAAAAAGTTAGATTTTATTCCTAATTTCTTAACTTTTATTTTATTCTATATCTGAAAGGACAAAAAATCGATAAAGTTTTGTCTTAATGCTTTTAAAAAAACAGCACTTCTCTTCATTGATTATTTTCTTATTGCAATGTCTGTTTTTGACAACTAATTATATCTGCATCTGATAAAAAATTTTATATCATTTTAGCATAAAAAAATTGAAGTTTTTAGAACAAGTAATAATTATTTGCCGCAGAAAAAGAATTTTCATCATGTTTAATATTTGAAGAAAGTATTATCAATTATTATTAGGAATATTGCATCGGTAAATTTTGTATGTTTAGATGTAGAGTTTAAAATATTGACTGTTCGGAAAGTAATTTCGTTTTTTTTTTCCAACCAATAGGTTTTGTTTGATGCCCTTTCAAATATAAAAAGCAAAAAGCAAAAAGCAATATTTTCTTCGGCATATTTTGCATTTCAACTATCGAAAAGGTAAAAATGCTGTTAAAGCAAGAAGAAACCCTATCTGATGAGACCCTAGTGCCAAAACTGGTTTGCGAAATTTAGATCCGGCAAAATTAAGATTAATTTGCACTATGCCATTTTAGGCTGACGAGGACACAATAAAGGCAAGTCCATTTAAAGTAGTTTTATTTGTTTACTTCTTAAACTTGAAAAGTAATTTATTCAGGGAACTCTTTAAATACAAGAACCATAAAACAAATTTCTATCATTTTCGTTAACGTTTAAAAATTTTGTTTTTAGGGTTATTTTTACAGCCATTCTTTTATTCAAGACTTAAATTACTCCAAATTATTTTCAATTTTTAAAAGTAATGTTTTTTTTTATCATACCGTTTCATATTGACTTTTTAACATGATGCGTGATAAGTGTCACATATAAAGATAGGATTTGGCAAATATTTACCCATGAGGAGTTATTCACAAAAATCCTATCCTGTGACGAAATAATAATTACATAATTTTCCATCACTACTCTTTATAAAAATGTGCAACAATCAATAGAGAGTATTATAACGTTCAACTCATTCAGTAGATTTGTGTAGTGAATTTGCAGCACTATATACACAAACTTAAACTTGCCTGTGACCTCAATGCGTCAATAACTATTGTCTTGCAACGAACTGATGATATTATATTTACTAGTGGGCTGCGCACCCTGCTCGCTAACGCTCGCCACCCCCCAAAAATTGCTACGCAATCTTATATGGTTTGCTTTGCAAACCAAGCTCGCTTCGCCCGCTACTAGCTTAGGTACAAATTAAATTAAGTTAGGATTATTAGGACGTATAATATATTAAAATTTTTAGGATTCCTGTATAATACACACAAACGCGAGAACTCAGTTCGTGGAAAATTCGTCACAATCGCAGAAAATCTTTCATTATTACTAAAAAAGAAAAGAAATTCCGCCTCTTCAAAGAAAGCCTTCTTCGAATTCTAAAAAAAAATCATCATTTCGCCTTTTATTACCAATGAAATCGCGATTTAAAATGACATTTATATGATATAAAATCCCACATCGTGATTCCTTCTTACGCGATTTAGAATCGTGTCTCGAGTTTCATATTTTCACAATTTTGTATCAAATATCGCACTTCGTATTCAGGTGATTTAAAAATTAATATTATGATTCGTGTTCAAGTTACTTTAAAATTATACATCGGTATTAGTATTTATGCGATTTTAAAATGAAACATCGAGATTCGATCTCGCGCTATTTTTAAGAACTAACAACAAGATTCTTACTCGCGCTATTTTAAAATCAGACATCGAGATTCGTACTCACGCGATTTTAAAATCAAATATCGAGATTCGCATTCAAGTTATTTTCAAATCAAATATCGAGATTTGTATTCTCGCGATTTTAAAATCAATCGAATTTCGAGATTCGTAGTCACGCGATTTAAAAATCATACATTTAGATTTATATTCACACAATTTAAATAAATAAATAAAATCTCGCATCGATATTTTTATTAAAACGTTGATAACATTCTGTTGATAAATGCTTCCTTCATACACTTTTTTCTTGCTCAGATTTCAGATATTTTTTCAATTATTTAAAAATTATTTTTGGACATAAAGTTTTTGTAATTTCAATTTTCAACTTTTTCTGTTTCTTTACCAAACTTATCCCCGCTGTATAAATCAATATGGACTTCTATAAAAAGCAAACACTTTTAAAAAAATCCATGATTTTCAAACACATTACGCCAAAATGAGGTGGCTACTAAAGAGATTTGCAGAAAGTTTGCAGAAAGATTCGTATTATTTGCAAGCCTGACTGTAACCTCTAACAAGTTAGCAAAATAATATAATTAATAGCTATTTTAAAGAAAAGTGAAACATTTTTCTTTTAAAAACGAAAACTAGCTCACCAAGAAGACTGCTAAACAAAGAGCGATACAGAATATCTTCATGATTCTCACTTAAAACGAACTGATGCGGTGCTTGCAACTTCTGTGGCTGTTCCTTTAAATATCGACGTATCTAGTAATTTTACTAAACACAAAATGATATTAGTGGGAAAACAAACATTTGTCATTAATACATTTGTTGACATTTCATAGACACCTGGTGTAATAGATCTTATTTATCTGTTATCCGTACTTGTTATCTATTCTGATTTGATTGTTGGCGACTTACCAAAACTGAGTATCTTATACTATGAAAGAATATTTTTGCCGAACAAAAGAAAAGCATACGAGTTGAAACGTACAGGCCAAAATTAAGACATCTTACTACTGGCCAGTAGCCAGTAGTAGAATTGTAGGGGATAGTTGCCACTTTATAAAATATATGTTGCCACTTCCTCAAGAATTGAAAATTTTATTTGATTAACGATGCTGTTAATATTAATATTGTAAGGCTTTTCATTTCAAGCATTTCACAAAGTATGGTAAACATTACAAGATCCATTTCTAAAATTTAAGAAACAAACCTGAAGTAAAACAATTTTCAGAGCGCCATAAAATATCTATAATGATTCAATATTTTAGTAAAAAATAAATTAAAAAAATGAGCCTGGAGTGCATTTTTACCAAGAAAATGTCAATCTAGTATTGACTGGAAAATAGCTTTTTAATCGCCATTTGTTACATTTAGTTGCATTGTGATCTATGGCCTACCGTTAATTTTGCCTTTTACCATATTTACAAAGGTAAAAAAGTTTTGAAAAACAGCATTCTACCTCGATAATAAACGAACTTGTTTATAAAGTATGTCTCAAGTTTATATTTACATTTTTAAGTAATACGATTACGTCACCTTTTTCTCTCAAACATGGAATGAGTTATAAAAAAATACTGTATGTCAATAGTAAAAAAAGAGTTTTTGTCAACAGAAAATTCAATTACATTTCGAACTTACATTAAAATATATTTGATTATGGGCTGAAACAGCAAAGATTTGAAGGAGGACGATCAGATGCATATTCAAATTTCCTTGCTTTCCTTCTCACTGACTTAGCATAATTATACTAAGCAAAATGCTTTTAATTTTTCAGCTCATGAAAAGAAATATTATATAAACCTTATAGATAACTAAACATACAAACAACAAAAAAATAGTGCGTGGAGTCCCTCTGCGCGGAAGAAGTTAAACTTCGCAACCTGCGACGTTAATTGTAGAAGAATCAGCAGTCGTAGAAGGATCACTAGTTCTATTCAACGACTCTTTTTCCTGCTCCGCTCGCTTCCGTGCTCTGTAATCACGGTAATATTGTGCATTTTTCCCTC